CCGGCGAGGGCTGCGCGCGTCCGGCAGCCTGTGAACCCCCCCACTTACGCTGGACGGTGAATTACTGGGGTAACGCGTGTCCTGAGCAGGGGATGAAGGAGCCAAAGGAGAGTTGAGTTCAGAAAGGTGTTGTGTACTTAAGATTTTAGTGCAATATGTTAAATTTGGGGCGGCACTGAGCCCTGAAGGAGAATCTCTATTGCAACAGCATCCAGCACCCGCCACCCACACAGGAGCGAGACTCACGCTGCCCTGATTTATTTTTTTTTTTAAGCCACTTGCCTATTTACAGTGAGAAAACGGCCCAGAAATCCCAAAATAATGAAGGGGCTGCCTGGCCCCCGCAGTGCCACGAGCCCCGATCCAATATAAACTGCAGCAACGACTGCCCAGAGTTCAGAATAAATATTTTTGCAAAAAGCTGGAAATAATCTCCCCATTCACCCAGGCTTTTTACAGTTAAGAGCTGGTTTGATGCTTTTCCTTTCTGCCCGGAGCCGCGTTCACTGGCGTTCACGGGCTCCATCCATCCCCCAGGTCCACCTGATGAAGCCCGAGGCCGTGCCCAAGGCGTGCTGTGCCCCCACGAAGCTCAGTGCCACCTCCGTCCTCTACTACGACAGCAACAACAACGTCATCCTCAAGAAGCACCGCAACATGGTGGTGAAATCGTGCGGCTGCCACTGACGGCCGGGTCCCGTCCCCGTCCCAGCAATGTGACACTGGGGTTCTGCTGCGTGTGGAAAAGGAGTTTCGTGGGCTGCATCATAGCGAAGTCCATTAATAATAATAATAAATCCCTCCCACCCTTTCCTAGAAGTGGATGTAAATAATATATATCTTTTATTCTCTTACTACACTTAATGAGACACATACATATATATACACATATATATATATATATAGGAAAGAGAGGATTTGTGGCTGGTTACATGTCCGTTTTGTTCGTGGCTGATGTGTTTTCCCCTGGCGCTGCTGGCTCGCTGGTGTTCGCAGAGGCAGTTTGGGCTGAAGGGGAATTAGGACAAGGGAGGCGGCATCCGAGTTGCTCTGGGATTGAGCTGTTTCTAGCCATCTACATCAAACTCACTCACCTCTAACCAGCGCTTTTAATTCCCTTAATGAAAACACCGTCAGCCAATTAAGCAGCTGGCTGACTAACCCCCTCCTGTTTACTTAAAGTTGACGAAACTCAGCCAGTTGGAAAAAAAAAAAAAAATACCCATATTGAGCTACGACACCGTTATAAAATAAACACCTAGTTTGGAAAGTAAACACGTAGTTTCTCTCGTTGTTTGTTTTTGAATAAATGTCACAGCACAGCAGCGCTCTGTTCGGCAGATGGGATTTCGCAACGAAAAAAAAATACTCGGGATCGACTAAAATTGTACCTTTTTGCTTGAAAATAAGCCCCGCCAAAGTGTTGTGATGTGAGGTTTTGGTCAGGCTGTGTCTCCCCGGCCGGGATATTTCCCGTCGGCTCAGGACGGGGTTGTGGCCGCACCAGCCCCAGCCCCGCGCAGCTTCCCTGTGCTATTTGCACAATTAAGTTATTTATTTGCTCTGATTTTAAAAGTAAACAGCCTGGCCTGTTTCTCAGCTCAGGTACCTGGGGAACCTTGCGTCACTGAACAAATTTGGCTTACCCAAATGCAAAGAAAAAAATCCCAATAAACCCACCAAAATAAAAAAGATCTGCCCAATGCCCGGCTTCCTCAGAGAAATCTTGCCTTTTTGGAAAGATTTCATCTGCCGACTCGTTCCACATGGAATCCAGCTCAAGATGCAATCGCCGCTCCGTGCGACGTGGTGCCTTCTGCAGACAGAGAGCCCAGGGCTTCCATCGACTCCCTCCGCAAGCAAGGGCTCTCCCTGGTTCAGGTGGCGCTGAAGATTTCTGCAAGGTCTGTCTTTAAAAATTTGAGATTTAAACAACAAAAAGAAAGGAGCAAGGAGGGGAAATGCTGGGTTGGTTTATGTGTTTGTCAAGTATCATGTCCAAGTGCCTGTATCTCACCTTGTCCCAGTTGTAGGGCAACGCACGACCCCCAAAGTGTGGAAAACCAGCAAGTGAATAAAAGCAACCCAGTGTTTATTATGGAAAAGCAACACCCCTGATTTGGGAGCAGCTGGGCTGGTGAAACCAAAAATCCCCAATTGCGCAAGCTCTTAAAAACATCCCCTGAACCCCAGCCCCCGCCACCCGACCCTGGCCTCTGCCCCGGCAGCCCCATGCCTCCTGCGAACGCCTGCGCGAGCTCAAACCCACACCTCCCTTCCCCTCCCCAAACACACAGGCCCAGGAGTACCCAGTGCCGTGATTTCAGAGGAAACCCCAAATCAATCACTTTCCAAAGATGTGGTTACCTTCACGGTGCATGGCCAGAGCTACCCACTGACGGGAACTGTAAGTGTATGTGTCTAGCCCGCTCTGCAAACCAGAGTTTGGAAATTAACCCCCTTCCTACACCCTCATCGCTTTTTTTTTTTTCCTTCTTCTATCACCCAAGGGGCTTCTTTATTTCCTGGTACTTGTCCAGACCTTGTTCTCCCACTTAGACATCCCAGTAAATCCCCTCCCTCTCGGATGGAGATGGAGTTGGACCAGGCTTGCTTCCCAGCAGGACGGCCGCCAGCCAGGGACCTGCCTCCCTCTGCTGATGGGAAATGACACTACAGAGCCAGGGACAAGCCAAAAACGCCTTCGTGAGATCCTGCTGCAGAAAAAGCATGAGATTCCGCTCTGCTCTTCTTGCCCCGGCATGGGTACCTTCCCTGGAACCAGGATTTAGGCACCAGATTTGAGAAGACGAGGGTAAATGCAAAAAACCAAAAAAGTATCTTTGCTCAAAAGCAAAGACCATCCTCACACTGTGAGAATTCAACAGCCAGCGGTAGGTCCTCAGTATTTTTAAAACTAGGTTTTATTTTTACCTAATATAAAGTCTTTCCGGAACACAGCAGCAGAACCGGCCCTGCTCCGCTCGGGGCAGCGCAGGACGGTGCAGGCTGAAAAGCGATTTATCCTCGGGTGGGTTGGACACCCCCCCCCAGCGCTGTCCGCAGGCACGTTCACGCCAAGCTTTGCAGGGGAATTTCGACAGAAGCCGCGAGAGCTGGGCACTGCTGGGGGGTCGCGGGGCTGTCCCACCCCAGCCGGGTCCCCGGCCCCTACCGGCCAGGCTCATCCCATCCAGCCCCCTCCAAGAGCCGAGCTCATGGGCACTCCCCGCAGTCCGAGATAATCACCTTCTGCTTCGGTTTCCCATCTTTGGTGCCCTGAGCCTTTGAGAGCAGCAGGA